CCCCCCACTGGAGCATGCGCAGGCGCGCGGGGCGCCCCGGACTGATGGCGGAAGTGGACCTGGTAGCCGAGTTCCCCCAACCTGCCGGTGCTGCCCGATATGCCGAAGTTATGGCTCGCTTCGCCGCCGGACTGGGCGCGCAGGGCCGACGGGTGGTGTTGGTTACGTCCGGAGGCACGAAGGTCCCACTGGAAGCCCGGCCAGTGCGCTTCCTGGACAACTTCAGCAGCGGGCGGCGCGGTGCCACCTCGGCTGAGGCCTTCCTGGCTGCGGGCTACGGAGTCCTGTTCCTGTACCGCGCTCGCTCGGCCTTTCCCTTTGCCCACCGCTTTCCGCCCCAGACCTGGCTGTCTGCTCTGCGGCCTTCCGACCCATCTCCTTCGGGTTTGGTGAGCCTAGAAACTGAGGAGAATGCACTCCCAGGCTTTGCTGCGGCTCTGCGAAGCTACCAGGAGGCTGCGGCTGCTGGCACCTTCCTGGCAGTAGAGTTCACCACTTTGGCGGACTATTTGCATCTGCTGCAGGCTGCGGCCCAGGCGCTCAATCCTCTAGGTGCGTACCCTAAGAGTCCATGGGTTGTCCGGAAGCAATCTTTCTCCCCAGACACCTCCTTAACTTTCTCGCTATCCACTGGTCTCACAATCGGGGAACCTGAATTAGAAAGAAGCTGATCCCATAGAACTCTCCAATTTATTGCACCCTGTGCTTATCTTTGCAGGAGCTTCTGCTATGTTTTACCTGGCTGCGGCCGTGTCAGATTTCTATGTTCCTGCCTCAGAAATGCCTGAACACAAGATCCAGTCATCTGGGGGCCCACTGCAGGTGATGGGCGGTTCTCTTCCAAGATCTGACCCCTATAACCAATCTTGAGTTAATTCCCTCTTGATCTGGAGATGACCTTTCTGCATTCCATATATGCTAGTCTCTAGGGATGCATAAGACACCGCCCTCCCTCAAGGACCTCACAGTCTAGTGAGGGAGCTGGATACAGACATAATTACAATACAGAGTGATAAATGCTCTAGTAGAGGTACGTACAAAGTGAAGTAAGAGCATGGGGTGAGTGAATCTTGGGGAAGATAAGGAAGGCTTCCTTGAGGAGATGACTTGAACTGGGTTTTAAAAGATGAGCAGAGGATGTACCAGAGTAGGGAAGGTCATTCCAGATAGAGTACACAAGTGGAGTTTGGAAAGGGGCAGTGTGCTGTGAACTGAAGTTGTTTGATAAGGTGGGAGAGCATGAAAAGTGGTAAGGGTGGAGAGCAGACTGAAGAGACAGCTTACTTCATCAGAGTATTCCTTCTAAAGGAGCTTGGACTTTATGTGAGCCAAGGGTCACATAAGTAGGAGAAATAAAGTTTTTGCTTGAGAAGAACATTCTGGCATCTGTACGAAAGGTGAATTAGAAAGAGAATGTGGTGGGTAATTTAGATGCGGGTTATTACTGTAATTTCAGGAG